ACACCTGACAGGTAAACAATCTTTTGTTTTGTAAGGAGAATAAGAACTGAGCAGAGCTTTGGGTGTCAGCGTGGAGCTCTTCTGTTTTCTGTTCGTGTCAGATTAGATCAGATTAGAGGCTCATCAGAACCACTTCCTGTCTCTTTGTCTCCTCCAAATTACAGAAGAATAAAAACGACACATTTCAGAAAATGTCAGATGTTTTTTTTTCTGCTGTTCCGTTTTTAATCCAACCTAAAACTAAGGGATTATAAAGTGTGTGACTTTATTTAGGATAATCTGACGATTAATCTGAGACGTTTAATTAGGTACAGATTCTCATTTTCTCAAGTGAGACCAAACGGATTAAATGTAAACATAAATAAATCAAATGGTCAATAAACCTCAACCTGACATGACCCCCCCTCCCCCGGCAGCACCGGCTGTGGGAAGCTTTGGATTTTTAATTTCTTTTTTCTTTCAGTCTTCTGGCGGCGTACGACCGTTGTTCCAGCGAAGCCGAGAAAGAGAAACTGCTCTCCTGCATCCGATACGGGAAACTCAAAAGGTTTGCTCAACCTGACCTCAGTCGTTGTGATTTAGTTGTTTTCTCTCGCAGAAGATGAGAAAAATCTTTTGATGATCGCAGCAGCGGATACTTTCAAAGTAAAAGCACTGAAACAAATTAAGCTTCGACTGCAGATAAGTGCTTTGGTGGACGCAGCTCATCAAGAAGTTAGCTTTGCTAACGCTAAACAGATTAAAAAAAAGTTAGCAGAAGCTAACGCTAAAGCGCTAACGTTTATCATCCTCTGCTGCCACTGACACCAACTGTCTTAACGTGACATCGCTGTAACTCAACGGTTCATAAATCACAAGTAAAGCGTCCATGTTCGGTTCAGAGGTGAGCTTTCAGAAATGAATCTGGTCCATCAGAACCAGAGGCGGAGCAGAACTCTTGGGCTGAAGCAGAGTGATGCATTCAATGTGTGTCGGACGTTTCCCTCGTGTCATTTGAATTAACTCACTGTGACCATCCTCTTTGTGGTTAACTACTTTTATAAACGAGCTACAAAGCTGCTGTGCATCATAGTCAGTATTCTGTCAGTAAAATCTGTTTGTGTTAAAGTAAAGATTTGTGAAATGTGTGAGAGAGTCACGTCCCAGAGAGTTGCAAAGCATGCTGGGTAGAAATTATGTGTGCAGTGTATCTGACTGTTTATGATGTTTTTGAGTGTAAAAATGTGTTTTTCATGTTATTTTCCTCTTCTGGTTTGGTGTTTATTTATTTTAAAGTCTCTGTTCTTGGCTGTAAACTGACACCACGAGTCAGAGACGGTTTGTAGTGAGGAGGAAAAGCTCTGCGAGGGCAGTGCTCACCCGTCTCCTGTACACTTTTAGTGCAGAGAACCGTATTTAAAATATATTAGTGGACTTGAATTTACTGGATTTAAATTTAGCGGAAGCTAATTCCACTAAAGGTTTTCAAAGTTAGCAAAATGCTAATCTGCTAAACTGAAAGTTAGCTGTGCTATTAGCGGGCTAGCGGAACCGTGCCCCCACTGGTTTACTTACTGAATGTTTTTCATTGACTGAATCAGGAGGGTCTTTAAATCGTGTGATTTTTCTTCTTCTTTTGTAGAAATGTAGGTCCGGCTCTGAGCAGAACAGTTTATCAGCTCTACTGTACTCCAGGAGCACTCTCCTGACTCCTGGTGATCTCCTTCAGATCTTTGATTTCTCTCCAAGACGCCTCCTCGCCTTTAACGCCACACGTTTCTAATTCATCCCTTCACGAACTTTGGAAATTATTGTTTACATTTACGGCCTTTTTAAAGACGCTGCTACATTTTAACCGCTGGACAAAAGGTTTGTATGAAGATATTCAATAATTTGTTCCAATAAAGTTTTTTTTTATATATATATAAGTCTGGTGATGTTATTAATTTGAGAAAAATGTATTCCGTGTTTGTTACGTTCATATATTTGGATGGGGGGGAAAAAAATGGTACAATAAACCAGGATGTTGACATTTGTTGTGGCTGCAGTGAAAACAAAAAAAACGTGTAACTTGAATTTTGTTCTAGTTGAGATTTATTTCAAATTAAGTCCATGGACGCCATCTAGTGGTCCCAGTAACAAAACCGTAATAAATCTTCTTAATTTACCCTCAAATGCATGTTTTCTACCAAATGCGTCTTCTGTTCTTTAAAGTTCTTTTGAAATGGACTATTTTTCTCTTCTGGGAAATCCCGTCGTATAATGTTTGTCGTCATTATGAAGCTCGGGGATTCTTCTGTGGATCATTTGCTTCGTCTTTGCCTGATGGAGCTTTCAGCAGTGTTTGTGGCCCAGTGAACTGTGCTTACGAGGATTTGTGGAAGAACCAGACCAGTTTTTAATGCGGCGGTCCCCGAAGGTCACAAGACCTCGACCATCGAATATTGACCTTCAGTGTCCTTTGAGATTACGTTTCCACGGATTCTTCAAATCTGCTGAGATTATAAACTATAGATGTTTGGTGGCATAGTGGCTCATTTGGTAGAGCTGCCTCTCAGCGAGAAGGTTGCCGGTTCACATCCTGGCCTGGGACCTTCCTGGGTGGAGTTTGCATGTTCTCTCCGTGCATACGTGGGTTTTCTCGGGGTGTCTCCGGTTTCCTCAGACCAAAAACATGCATGTTAGACTGACTGGTAACTGAATTGTCCCTAGGTGAGAGAGAGTGTGAATGGTTATTTGTCTCGTTTGTCTCTGTGTCCCTGTGATGGACTGGAGACCTGTCCAGGGTGTCCCCCTCCCGCACAGTTATTGCTGGACATGGACACCAGTGACTCCTGTGCCCGGAAAAAGGAAGAAGCGCGTAAAGAGGATGGATGGATGTCGAGAAAAGTTGTCCCAATTTTCCATTGAAGATAACTGTATTTTTTGCTGTATAAATAGCTTTTTTGTTGTTGCATAATTTTCCTGTCCTGCGTCTTATACACCGAAGCAACATATTTATATCTTTTTCCCCGTATTTATAATCCAATTTTTGACTGAGATATGACCGTTTTCATTCATTCTGACTGAAAAAAAAAATATATATATATATATATATATATATAATGAACACTACCATTTTCAGCCACTAGATGGCACCAGAGTAGTATGGCATGCCATTGTACCATGTAATAGGTAAAGTGCCCCGGCGAAATGCAGCTGATTTGACCGTCAAAGTGCATTTATTAAGTTCAACTGAGACATACCGTTTTTTTTATAAAGTCGAGCAAACAAATAATTGTTTTTAAGTGTTAATCTTGTTAAAGTTCTCCCATGCACGCTCCCGTGACTGCCATTTGGCAGCCCATAGATTTTTGGCACAACTCCAGCCCACATTTTCGGGTTGTCAGAGGTGACACATAATATATGAGATGTATACGGCGAAGCAATGTATTTATGAATTTTTCCACATTATTAGACATTTTTGCACTGATGCAACTTCTGGTGCAACGTGTACGACGGAAAATACAGAATTCCAAAATTGTTCTTCTTAACTCCTTTTTCCACAGACTGGTGAACCTCTGCCCATTTTTACAGCTTCTTCTACAGGTTCTTTTTATATCGAGTCCTCTTACCGACCTGTTGATGATTAACCTAATTAGTTACAACATAACCCCCCTCTAAAAAAGTACATTTAAACATTTGATATGCTTACTATGCTCCATTATGAATAAAATATGGGTTTATAGGAGTCGTAAATCTTTGCTTCTTATTTTTATTATGTTTTATCGTCTCGCTGAGCTGCAGACTTTGGGACGGTCCATTGTTCAGGAGGGGTTCTTGAGGCAGGAATGGGGAAAGCATGGGGGAGATTCGGCTTTTGCCTGCAGCTGAACCAGCAAATAAAAGATGAGTTCCGAGATAAGCGGAGGTCTCTGGAGAAGTCGGAACACACAGGAACGACCACAGTTCGTCTGATGAACTGCTGATAGCGATCACGTCAGCCGTTTTGGGCTCAGGCTTGGCTCCTTGTTGAGACAGATCAGAGAAGGACCTCCAACAAAGACAGGATTCTCTGGAAAAACAACCCAGAACTGGCGCTCGGGGGAGACCGGCCCACGCTCCAAGAGAAAGAGCAAGGATGGAAAGGAAAGTAGAGAATCAGAGATTAGTCGGACAGTTTTGGGAGACGCAGCTTCCTTTTATCCCGTCTTTTAATTCAAACTTTTAAAGAAAATGATGTAACTTTTTATTTTCACTCTTTTTAAAATTAACCTTGAAGCAGTTAAACTTCTGATCTCAATTCCTGGACTCTTTTGTATCACTGGTAAGTTTCTTCTCATTTTTATACTGTTGGTTCTTACAGGAACACACCAGCTGAGCTAAAAGTCGTGATTTCAACCCTTTCACCCGGTGCATGAATGGTACGATCCCCTCCCAGGTATGTACGTATATTTTCTCATGGGCTCGATTTGATGCAGGTTCTGAGACTGTTGTTGATCCTATGGACTTCTGGGCCGAGATAGGGCAGCCGACCCCAGACCCGAAAGTCCCGGGCTCGATCCCCAGCCATTCCCACATGTCGTGGTGTCTCTGAGCAAGACACCCAATCCCCAGTTGCTTCCCGGGCACCCATAGCTGCCCACCGCTCCACCTGGATGTTTCCCAGGTGCGATGGGTTAAATGCAGAGAACCAATTTCACCATTGTATGGGAACATGACAGCACGTCCAGTTTAGTTGTTACGACC